TATATATGAATCTTAATTATTGATTAACTTGAGCTCAACGTGAAATTTTACATACATCAAATAATAAACAGTTATTACACAATGTATAATCACTGTTGTCCCTTCAAAATGATTTTTACAAAATTAATTATTATCTAAACCAAAAATAATATCCCTTAAGACTTTAAAAACTCATAAACTGGTTGAATTTACAATTAAATTATAAATTATAAATTATCCATAATTTATAATAAATAAAAAGCAAATCTGTCGTAAAAATTGAAGGAATAAATGTATAAAAGTAAACCATAAATATTCGCAATATTAGATTAACCCCCTAAAATGAATTGGATAATAAATTTTGAAGAACTAACTAAATATATTTAAATTACAAAGTAATGATATTAATAATTGGCCACACGTACATAAATAAATTAAATTTAATTACTTTAGAAGAAGTATGTGTTTATATTTGAAAAACTTGGTGTAAAGCTTAGAAATTGCCTTCTTGGACAAACTTAGACTGGTATTTTAGAACCATCTTAAGGACATCATGAAAAATGAAAAATGATAGTTATAAAAAGAATTAGTCTATTTGAACCTTATTATGTTTAATCTAAAGAATTATTGCTTAGCCACCTAAAAAATTAATAATTGGTATCAGGAGATAAACAGACAGACAATATTCCATTAGTATTACCATCTAATTTGGCTTTTTATTATCCTGTTTTGACATCTCATAGACGGATAGACTTATCATGACAACCAGAAGCTAATATATTTCCATCAGGAGAGAAACAGACTGATCTAACAGCATCATCATGACAATCTAATTAATACAAATCGTTTATTTTTAATTATTACCAATAAAATCCAAATAATTAAGCTCCATTTCAGTTAATTCCATTGATATTCACATTCTTAAATTTAGATTTAGATAAATTGCATTTTGCAAAATTACCTCCAAATAATGAAGTATTTTAAATTTATATATTTTAAAAATTATATTTTGTTAGATCAACTTTCATTTCAACCAATATATTAAGTGCATTAGATCCACTTATAATAAAATGTTTATAGATTTTCATAAGATTCACTAAGAATTTCGAAAATTCTATCATCCTGTCATCGTGCGATATTTTTTAAATGAGATATTATCTTGTTTCAGCATAGATTTAAGACGAAAAATTAACAGAATTAATATCATGTTCTTTTATGGCTATGATCATATGAGTAATTGAATTAATAGTCTTTTTAAAAGTATCAAATTTTTTTTATTTTTAAAAAAGTGATATATTTTCTTATTAATTAAAAGTCTTAGAATATTTTACATCTATATTTTCCAGAAACTGTAAGCAATCCTAATCTTGATTATTTTCTTATGACAATATTTCTATTATAATATTCAATATTTATGTATCAAAACGTTTTGGTTGAACAAAAACCTCATATAAATCAGCTGCAATCAAGAACTCTTATATTGATTTATGGGTAAATTAAAAATTGGCACCTTTTTATTAGACAAGTGAATAACTTCTAATATCTTTTTTCTAAGCTCCGTTTTAATCATCATAATTAAAAAATTCATTTAGCGATTGTTCTTTTGTTCTAGCATTTTAATATAAAAATCCTTGCTACTTATATTAAACTTATGTCAGTTGATTCTTACACATTGTTTTTGTAAATCTAATTGAGTATTCTAAAAGATCATGCATAAAACGATCAGTATCTATAGATTCTCCTAAGTTTCTCTGTTTTTCGATTTATTTCAAGTGGTAATAATTGATAAACTCACAATAAAAGTCATAAATTGTAAGATTGTATTCTTTTAATGCATCATTAACAAATTAGATTATTTCTTCCTATTAAATTTTTATATTATTTAATATCTAATTTGGTAACAAAAGATTAGTTTCAAAAAATATTTAAAGTTATTTATGTCCTTCAGATTCTTAAGAAATTTACAATTATTAAGGTATCAAATTTTCTTCCAAAATATTCCAAACTTCAAAAGCAATTTAATGGTAATCAATAATTTCCAAGTTGTATAAATCGTTATGAGTAACTTCCTAGAAGTCATCATAATCAACTTAAATTTCTGCTTCAGATTTTTTATTAACTTCATTTATTGACTCCTACAGATGCCTTTTGGGTTGCGATTTATACATCTGAATTCTGTATTTACTTATGAAGAATTTTATCAAAATCTTTGAAAAATTCTCCAAAAAGGTTTATTTAATGTTAATAATCTCAGTTGCTTTAAGAATCGTGTTGGGCAACACTTACACTATAATTTCCTTCATATATGGAGTTTCCACTAATTTATTTAGAATTACCAAGGTCATCATATCTTCATACTTTTTAAAACTCCATAATTTTTTGTAAATTTATGCTCAAGATTCTTATAGCTTCATTGCAATTAACTTATCATCTTTCAAACAAACATTATAAAATACTGATTATTTATATTTCATTCAAAAGAGTCTTAGATTTCCACCTAGCTTCATCGAATTTCAATAATGATGACTATACCTTTTCCCAACTCTGTTCAAATCTTTTAAAATCCAGAGCTTTTTGGTTTTAAGTTTACATTTACCATTCATGTATATCAAAAATTAACATTTTAATACTTTAAATAGTAAATTTCTTAAGATATTCTTATTTTTAACTCTCTTCAAAACGAAGAAGCTAGATTTCTTTAAATTTCTATTTATCTTCAGAAGCAAACCAGTCGGCATAATTGTTGCTAGTAAAAATGTCACTTCTGGTGGTAAAAATAACAAGAGGGTCTGACCAATTTTATTTGAGCTTATTATTAATATATAAATTTTTCTAAATATTCTCTAACTTCATTTCATCATAACTGTCCATGATAAATATGAATCGGAATTCTTTCTTTTACAACATTTCTTTACATTCTTTCAATTAGAGATCATCAAACCCATAATCATCTTATTTAAGCGATTCCTCTACTGCTTAAAAAACAGGGTTTTTTAAAGAGCGTAATGAAATATAAACAGGCATTAATACATAATTCCCAATTTTTTTATTACTATCATGTAATTTCCAAAATAAACTCTTCAATTTTTTTTGGCTGTAGTACTTTTGCCAGATCCAGCTAATCTATGAATTAATAATACTGTTCATTCACTTCTCCAGCTTTATCATAAAATTAATCAAAATTCATCAATCTACTGACTTCATTTTTATCCTTCTCTTGAGTTTTTAATGGTACATAGATGGACTTAACATTTTTTCTGCTGCTTCCTTCAATACCTTCCATATTCTAATTTCAAGTAGTTATATTACCGATTTTTCTCTCAAAAATTTAATATCATTCCCCATTTTGTTGAGTTACTCTTTCATTTAATTTATTTTTCCCTCAACTCTTAACAAACCTTTTCTGATATGATTTACAAAATCAGTTATCAATTTGAGCTATTCTTATAATTCATCTATTCTCTTCAGCATTTATTACATATCATCTGCAATTCTATCATGTTAAGTCTACCAATCTTTCTCCAAGATCTACATTTACAAACTTACTAGGGTTTAATTTTTTAATAAATTTCTAACTCTTTAATCTTTTTCTAAAATCCATAATTAAATTAGAGCTTTCTAACAAAATGAAATAATTGTATCGGTGAAGCAATTAGATGAAATATAAATAATTGTGAAAATTAGACCATTTTTCCACTCGTCATTATTTTTAAAATCCTTATACTTTTGCTTCAACACATCAAATAATCCTAATTTTTAATTTGATTCTAAATCATCTTCATCATCTCCTTCTTCCTCTTTTTCTTATAGGTATATTGTTTTAATTATTAAATCAGATATTCTTAATCAATTTCATTTTCTGAGGGTAAACACTTAGACTTTCTGAATTTTACTTGTATCTCAATTATTAAATTATTGAGAAAATCACAAAGATTTCTTTATTCTGTTATATTGCTGCCATTTTTTTTTCATTTTGAATTGATAATATACTGATGTATATTCTATCAAAATATTCTTTAAATGATTCATTTTACATCTATTATAAGTTAACCGTTTTCGAAAGCGATTATTCAAATTTATTAATATGTTCTTCGAGACAATTAAGAAAAATTTATTTTATTTTCGTTTAAATCTCTTTGTTATAATCTTGAAATAGAACATAATTATTTCTAAACTATTTAACTTCTTCAAGTAATTAGGTTAATTGCTGCTTCTATTCTGCTATCTTTTTCTTTTATATTTTAACAACATTAATGATGATTTATAAATGTGTTTGACATTTTTCATCAAAACAATTAATAACAGTTTTTTTGGACATTCTGTTAATCCTTTTTATCATTTTAATATTATTAATAATTCAATTAAATTGATAATTAATTCCTTTCGTCTTCATTTTTTTCAGCTTAAATCATTTTTATTAATTCTTCTATCAGTTTTATTAAATTGTTTAACAATTAAGATAAGTTTTTTTTAAATTTATAAATTTTAGTTAAAGGAATTATTCAAAACTTTAACAACTTTATCGATTTGATTGATAAATTATTTGAAATGTTCTATACTATTATTTTTCTCAACAATTCTTAATTATTACAAACATTTCTCATATTTTTCTTTTTCTTTAATCAATTCTAATTGATTAAATTTTTCATCTGTCACATTTTTAATTGATTCATCTATTGCTATATCTTCAAAAATCTTCATTATTCTTTCTATTGGCGAAATTGAACTAGTTTCTTCTATAAATAATTCTCGAAAATCCTTCTAAATCAACTCTAAATCTTTTTTTTCTGAATGAAGAATTTATTCATCTATACTTACTTTAAATATTAAGTATTCTATTGTTCCTTGATACTTAGATAAATTATTTGAGAAGTCTTCCTCCGTGACTTGCATAGTTATTAATTCAGGTAATATTTATTTTGAATATTAATTTTGGTTGATGATTAAATTTAAAGGATAATTTATGATTACATTAATGAGAAACTAATCCAAATTGATAACTTCTTATAAATATGAATATTCTTCTGATTGAGCTGTTAATATTTTTTAAAAAGACACCTTGAAAACAATTAATTGTAATTTAAGCTTTAAATTGTTCAAACTTTAGTTGAATATAAATTAATATGATAGCATATCCAATAATTGTTACTTAATCTTTACAAATTCTTAAGTTTAAGAAAAAGACTCGATTTCACATTATAGAATTAAAATTTTCCTAAAACTTTAAATAAATTCATAAAAATCTTTTTAAATTTTTACCTTCTTGTTTTCATAAAATAATATAAGTAATGCAATAAATTCCGAAAGCATTCAATTAAGTTTTTCTTTTGAAGCTATATAACTTCTAATTTTGTGATTTATTTTTGAGAATGTTCAATAAGTTTTAAAATGCTTTGAGCTTCTTTAAAAAATTCTTTTAGTTAAGAGTTGCTATTGGTAAGGTATGAAGCTTCTCCTAAAACTCATTGACAAATGAAAACTAGTTATCTTTCAGATTTAGATTTTTTAACTCTGCTTAAATTAACTCTTTCTATTACTAAAGCATTTTTATTTCATCAGTTTCACAATTTTCCTTGCTGAATCGATTTCTTTAATCATTAATTTCCTAAATTGTTTTTAGTAACATTTATTCTAATAGTCTCATTAAATATTTAAGCTGTTACAAAATATTATATTCAAATAAAATCTCCTATTTGAATTATTCAGACCGACATTAATTAATCTAATTCAGCTTAAGAATTTTTAGAATATTGTGTCGTTTTTTAAATATTCTTATATGTTGTAAATGATCTTTTTAAATTAAGAATTAACAGTTCATCATAATAGTCTTGTATAAACTTGCTCATCTTTCTTAAATTGTTTCTAAGATTTTCAATACTTCCCCCAATTTTTCATCATTTTATTTTATTAAATTAATTAATTTAGTCGAGATTGTGAAACTTAAAAGCTTTTACATTTTCTTGGTAGTCGCAATTTTTTCTTAGTTTTAGAGTTTTAGGAATCTTCTTTTAATAAATCTAGTTTACATTTAAATATGAACTGAAAGTATAAGGGGTATTTTAATTTTATTCATTCATTAAAAATTGTTTAAGTATTAGAAAGTCTTCCCATCCTTTGAAACTTTCTTCTAACAAAAATCTATCATGTTATATTATTTTATTATTTTAAAGTTAATTAAGTTGAATAACACCTGTATCTTCATTATTATTTATTTATATTAATAATCCTCTGCTATTATAATCCTTCCAAATCTAACTTATTGATTTTACCCCAATATTTAAAGAGTATTCAGCTGAACTAATCTTTTTATTGTTAGTAGAGGATTAAAGACTAATATTTTTCCAATCATTTGGATCCAGATATAATGTTACCTCCAATTTTTTGAACTTTTAACTATTGTGTCATATATTGTCTCAATTTGTAGAATTATAGCTTCTAGGATTTTTGTATTTTTCATATTTAAAATAACTTTTTACCTCCCATTATAACAAATCTATTTGATAAAAACTTCATATTATTTTCTCTTTTTAGAAATATCTTACATTTTGTAAAGTAGGCAGGCTCCCTTAAATAATGATTCAAATAACTCAGTATCAGGGCTCATTTTGATTAGAGAACCTACAATACCTTTTAAGGATCCTTTTAATATTTCTTCCTTGTCTTTATTATTAATAAGAGCAATCTCAAAAGAAGTTTTGGTTAAGAAAAGAAATAGTTCGATTTAATTTTAAATTAAATCATTCCTTTCGATTTCCATTTATTATTGTAATTCATCACAAATTTCCAGAAAATAATTTTAGGTTTCACATTTCATAAATCTCTCATCATTCATTAAATGAAAGCTAAATATTACTTTAGAAAGGGATGTTTAATCTATAAAATATACAAACATTTGAAGGAATCTGATCTGATGTAGGTCTAGCAGCTTATCAATTAACGTCTAATCCCATCTAAAATTAAGTCGTATGATTTCTTAACACTTTATACATTCTTATTGATTTTGTAGATGTTTTCCTCTTAAAAATAAACCGCTGTATTGCTATCATTATTTCTGATGATTCCTATTAATTAGCTGCAACAGATGCCTTAGATTCTATTATCTAAATATAGTGATTGAACTTCGAAAAGAAATCATAAACTTAAGTTTGAATGTCATTTTTTTCTGATTATTGATCAATATTAGTATTTGACATTCCACAACCCCCTCCTCTTAGAAACAATTGTTATTTGTTGATTTCTGTTAGCATTTTTATAAAAAAGGTGAATTAATAATAAATCCAACACTAGGATATAACATGCCTAAGAAAAAAGTCATTATAAAAATTGATAAAAAATATTTAATAAAAAAATAACAAAAAATTAGCTTTTCGTAGGCTTCGGACTATGGGTATTGATACATAATTCTAATTGTATCAATACCCATTACTGTTTGTTCCTATCTTGGACTTTTTTTACGATCAGTTGGTTATGATTTATCCTATATTTAAACATGTATTGGAATTCCATTGAAAAAAAATTAATATATATTTTCATAATGGCAACAACAATTAAATGTTAGAAGTAATAATGGATTATATCATTTTGTCTCTGATGGAAGATGTAGATACATACTTATGGCTTTATAAAGAGCATTTCTTGGTCCTAAAGGCATGTACCAAAAATTTATATCAAGAATAATTCTAACTGATATTCATATGAATTTTTTTTTTAATTTTTCTTACAACTTATTTGAAAGTGCACAATTAATTTTGATTTTGTTTTATTTTTGATTTCTCCCATTTTTAAAAGAATTGAACTAAAATATTCAAAAGAAGAAGAAGATAATTAATTATAAAAAAGAGAGTAGAATTCTTTATATTTTCATTTTTAATCTAATTTTTACCTATTCAATTTTGATGATGAAGACAAACAAAAAAAATTTATTACTTTTTCCAATTATCATCATCTAATCTACTTTTGTGGACAAATATATATTTGACTGTTTATATGATACTGAATTTTAAAAAATTAAAGGATCCTGAAAAAGAAAAATAAAAGTAATGCACAAAATTATTTAAATTCATATTATCTTTTCAAGTTAATTACAGTCTTTTAATTGTTCAATNCGTCTAATCCCATCTAAAATTAAGTCGTATGATTTCTTAACACTTTATACATTCTTATTGATTTTGTAGATGTTTTCCTCTTAAAAATAAACCGCTGTATTGCTATCATTATTTCTGATGATTCCTATTAATTAGCTGCAACAGATGCCTTAGATTCTATTATCTAAATATAGTGATTGAACTTCGAAAAGAAATCATAAACTTAAGTTTGAATGTCATTTTTTTCTGATTATTGATCAATATTAGTATTTGACATTCCACAACCCCCTCCTCTTAGAAACAATTGTTATTTGTTGATTTCTGTTAGCATTTTTATAAAAAAGGTGAATTAATAATAAATCCAACACTAGGATATAACATGCCTAAGAAAAAAGTCATTATAAAAATTGATAAAAAATATTTAATAAAAAAATAACAAAAAATTAGCTTTTCGTAGGCTTCGGACTATGGGTATTGATACATAATTCTAATTGTATCAATACCCATTACTGTTTGTTCCTATCTTGGACTTTTTTTACGATCAGTTGGTTATGATTTATCCTATATTTAAACATGTATTGGAATTCCATTGAAAAAAAATTAATATATATTTTCATAATGGCAACAACAATTAAATGTTAGAAGTAATAATGGATTATATCATTTTGTCTCTGATGGAAGATGTAGATACATACTTATGGCTTTATAAAGAGCATTTCTTGGTCCTAAAGGCATGTACCAAAAATTTATATCAAGAATAATTCTAACTGATATTCATATGAATTTTTTTTTTAATTTTTCTTACAACTTATTTGAAAGTGCACAATTAATTTTGATTTTGTTTTATTTTTGATTTCTCCCATTTTTAAAAGAATTGAACTAAAATATTCAAAAGAAGAAGAAGATAATTAATTATAAAAAAGAGAGTAGAATTCTTTATATTTTCATTTTTAATCTAATTTTTACCTATTCAATTTTGATGATGAAGACAAACAAAAAAAATTTATTACTTTTTCCAATTATCATCATCTAATCTACTTTTGTGGACAAATATATATTTGACTGTTTATATGATACTGAATTTTAAAAAATTAAAGGATCCTGAAAAAGAAAAATAAAAGTAATGCACAAAATTATTTAAATTCATATTATCTTTTCAAGTTAATTACAGTCTTTTAATTGTTCAATCTTATATTTAGGTCATTACTTTTAATTCTAATACTTATTTTTAAGATTTTATTTCAAATCACTATTTACTAAGTGTTTCTATGTAGGTTGTTATTAATGTTATTTGCATCTACATCCATGAATTTTCCTCTAATTTACTTCTGGGTACAGATGGAAAATGTTAAAGGAAATCTTGTTAGCATGCTCCAAGTACATATAACATGGATGATGAAAGTAGGAATTGTTAATCAGGCTGCCCAACAAATACTAATGAATGCTTAAATTAAACATGTTCTTAATTAGTTGCTTAGTCATTTTAGAATGTTAATGGAATTCCTCTTGTGTAGACTCTAAAAAATGCCCGAAAATTTAATACTCAAATTATATGTTAAAACAAATCAGCCTTCAATTATTCATTATCAGATGGGATTACTGCTTATTATTATTCAAAATTTTCATGGATGTATGATACTTGTCAAAATTTACCTGATTTAACTGGGAATAATATAATTCTTGATTCAGTATGTTAACAAGTAATGTCAAATTGTGTCGGCAGCAGTTATGGATGTGTAGACAGATAGAGTGATTGTTCACTTTTCAAAGGAAATAAGAGAAGATATGTCTAATGTTCAGTATATTTACTATTCTAATAATAATACATAACAATCTTCATTTTGTTAAGTAATAAAATTAAATACTTCGGTTGGTACTGAATCATTATAATCTAATTGATCCATAAGACAAAGGTTATTTAATTCTTATTATAGAGAGTACCTGAAAAGAAATTAAAATTCGATCCATCAAATGAAAAAAACTATTTTATTTATTAAACTTGATATAGGAGTTTTATTAAATTAGATAAATTATTAATCATGTTACAATTAAGAATATAGTTAGTGCTTCAATACGTGTTACTTATAGGATATCATGAAGTTAAAACACTCATTTCAAGTTAATATCATACAGATCTTTATTCATTATATCACATGTTAGGATATTTTAAGAAAAATTCCTTACCCCCAGAAATTTAGCTAGAATTTTCTTCAGAATAAATTAACTTAATTCATTAATACTGATTTATTATTAAAAGAAAATGATTAATAATTTAAATAATGAAAAATAAATGGTTCTTAATCGTTATTTCTGTCTAAAATTATTTTCTGGTATTTATTTTCCTTTAGTAATTAAGACTAGTTTTCATACACTAGAAATATTTTAACAATTCATCCAATTTAATTCAAAGTTGTGAAGATTAAGATTTACTATTTCAACTTCTCCATTTATCTAATTTAAATTCGATACTTGAATTACTTTTTAATTTGTTTATTGAATTTAATTTTCATCCTTATTATAGATTATAGGTTTAAAATCAAAATTAACTAATATTTTATAATTATTGTCTCATTTATGCACTTCTGATCTTTATCTTCATATAAAATTATTCAATATTGAATAGCATCTATATTCCCAAGTATTTACATGTGTTTTTTTTTTTTTTAATTTATCCTCTATAAAATTCTAGGTTTATGCTTATTCAATAAAGAAAATAGTTTTGTATTTAATATTTAACTATGACATACAACAACTAAGAAATCTGCATATGCCATTAGTTGCATTTAAACATAGTATATTGTAATTAAGTTATTCGTTTCTCCTCTTCTATTGAAAATTCTCAACATCCCGGATCAAATATATATATAGTAATTAAAAATATCTATTTCTTTCTTCAGAGATATTTTTTCTCAATTTTCATGATCTAAAAGATCCTATCTCTATCAACACTGTTAGTTTTTCTATTACTTATCCTAAATAATATTTATATGCCATCTTATTTACAAATCCAATTTATTCTGGCTTTATTTCTTTAGTACATATTTATTTAAATTTAGGTACATAGAAATCTTCTATTAATTTAATAAAATGTCTTTAGACCATGTTTGATCTAAATTAATCAATTAAAGGCAGTTAAGGATGAACTTATTGAATGGTACTCATCGAGAATAAATATTTGAACTACCAAATTTATTTTAATTCTAATTTCAGTTTTCTATTGTTCCTTTCAATAAAAGTTCAGCCAAATCATAAGAAACAGCCTTTTTATTATCACCTAACAATTTTAGTTCTTCTTCATCAATTCAAAAAGTGTCTTCAAGAAAATTAAGGTCATCATGTTTAGGGTCCTATTTTTCATTTAAAAAAAATTGTATATTCAATAATATGTTTTTTCCTTATAATCTTCTACTAAATTTTTAAAGCAACTCATAAAGGGTTTCACATTTTTTGTGTGTTGAATTAGATTAAGAATTTTTTTCGATTCTGGTTAAATCAATCAATTATAATTGCATGCTTATTGTTAGTGGTCTATGGTCTGATATATTTGTAAGGGAAGTGTTGAACCTACTCCATAATTAATCTTTTTTTATAATAATATTTAGTCTATTTGATTACCTTTGGGAATGATTTACTTATTCACATTTTTGTTTAGCTATTGATGTCATCATATGGATATGACCTCATTTTTTTATAGTTGAATTTAATTCAATTCCAAATATTACAGAAAAGTTCAATAGTTTCTTTGTCTAATACCAATAATAATTAAAAAAAATAGAAGTAATGATCAATTCTAAAGTAAATCAAATTAGATAGATAATGAATAGCCAATAAACCATAAGAAACATGCCATTTTTGTGATATTCATGAAAGTCAACTATAACTGACTGTTTGTTAAACTAATGTCATAAAATAATAGGTATAACAACAGAATAACTGACATTAGAGAAGATGAACAATAAAGAGGAATTTCAATAAAGTCATCAGGAATATCATTTCATTGTTAATACAACAACAACAATAAATATTGTATAATATAAAACAATAAAAGAGAAAAATGAAGTGATTTATAATTCAAGTAGAAAAATGAAAATAAACTAAAGCCTTTTTAAAAGAATTTTGGTAATTTTAGAATTAATTAAATAAACAACAGATTATAGGCATTTATATTTTGTATTTTTTGAATTTGAATTAATAGTTTAATTTTAAAACATTTAATTAATTATATTTTAATTATATAGCACTTTATAATATAAGTTATGATTTAATTCCACTAAATCTTGATGTTCTTTATTTTGATAATAAGCCTGATTGTTGAAAGTGAATTAGAGACTTTAAGTTACAGTGAAAAGCATACTTACATTAATGATTTAAACACTATGTTGAAGTTGTAAATATACATCATTACCAGAATATAATTGGATTTATAGGTTTTATTACATAATATCTGTTGTGTGTTCAATTATTGAATATTATAATCCAATTACCCATTGGAAAGCTTTCTTTTAGGAATTGAATATTTCTACAAATTTTATTGTATAAAATTTTATAATTCAATTAAAAGCAGGTGTTATAATTTTTATCATCTAATACATTCATCTGAAGTATTGATACCTATTCATCCAATATAAAAATGATTTTGAAGGTTTGCTATTAGAGATATGTTGGCTCATGATGGAGGGTAAGCATTAAAAATTAATGGATTATGATGACCATTATAGACATCATTTGCATTATGTTGTTAATTATGTTCATCCTATTTTAGAGCATTATTTTGGTACTTCATACAATCTAGTAGAAATAAAGAATAAATCGTTAGAAAAATAATCCAATAAAAGAAAAATGTTCATATGTTAGTGAGTTTAAAAATTAAGATCATCCCTTATTGTTTAAGTATTCATGAAGAACTATAAGTAAATTTTATAATTAAATTTCTGATTACACTGTCTTTTTATAATATTAGATAACAAATATCATCTAATTTTAAGAACTTATTTATATAAAATAATCAAATTAACAAAAGCATTTTGATTTTTTTGTTGTTTTTGCAGCATTATTTTTTTAAAATTCTATTTCAAAAAAAAAGTAACATTGAGTAGGTTTATTGACAAAATGTTAAAGTTCATTCTTTGATTCCTTCAATTGATTTGGCAAAAATTGAATGAAAAATTAAGTAAATATGAACAAAATGATTATTAAATGTAATAAATATTCAATTATAACCCAATAAATTTATTTAATTTTCTTAATCAATTATTTCTCAAAATTCGGTTTAATTAGGCCAATATAATGATATGGAATTTTAAATGAATCTAAAATTGTTCTAAATTTTAT